GCTCCGAAGAAACGTTAGCACGCGTCATATTTGAAAATTTAACCCGTTCAAACACAATTTTCTCGAAAACTTCTTTTTTAACGCATGCTAACCTGCGTTAGGGCATCAAAATTATTTCATGGGCTATCTATCATTTATTTATATTTTGAATAACTTAAATTATTGATTTTGTGTTAATATAAGAATATGTTGACGTCCAGATAATTGCAAAATGTTTTTTGAATAGTCGAGATCTTGAGTTCAAGACAAGCAAAAAATTTTATCTCATACCTGAAAAAATGTAGTACTTTCTCGCATCCATAACATTAAAATGCACAACTTTTAGGCTGAAGAAAGCTCTCCATTAGAAAATTAGGTACTTTTGCCGCGCTACACCAAATTAGATAAAAATTGGGCGCTCGGTGCAAAATTTTTCGGTGAATGAATAGCGGGTTCCTTTTAATTCTATTTTGACTTCTTTTCTGGCGTCGACATAATCCACAGGGTTTTGGCCCAAAGTTTATTTTTCTCATTGACGCCTTTCTCAACCAATGAGAAAAATAAATTTTAGGCCAAAACCAAGTAGATTATGTCGACGCCAGAAAAGAAGTCAAAATAGAATTAAAAGGAACCCGCTATTCATTCATCGAAAAATTTTGCACCGAGCGCCCAATTTTTATCTAATCTGGTGCAGTGCAGCAAAAGTACCTCATTTTCTAATGTCTGAAGAGCTTTGTTCGAAACACCAATTTCATTATGTTTTACCCGGTTTTCTCTTCAGAAACATGATGTAATCAAGATGAACTATTTCACACCAAGAAGTTGAGCTCAAAATGATTACACATCAATTTCATTTCTACATCATGCCAACTCTTTTCTGACATAAACTATTTTCTTTTCTTTGAACTTGTTGAATATTTTTATTATTTTTAGCAAAAAAATGTCTACCTAAATATTCTACCATCTTACTGCGTATGTATTTCTCAATTCAACATATGATTAAAAAACTTCATCACAAACATGTTTTTTATTTTAAGCTCTTTGCAAAGTTAGCGCATTTAATAGTCCGTAAAACAAAAAAAGAAATCATTGTTGATATTTATACAAAATTCGTTCATTGATTTGTTCAATTTTTTGTTAGACTACAACTAGCCATATCAAACATTAAGTCACGTTGTAATAAATTAAGTACGGCTTCAACACCTTTATTACCACCG